CTTTCCTCAATCATGGCGGCTTCGGTGACATTTATGAAACAGTTGACGATCACGGGTTGTGAAGTTTCTCAGCTCGTATAAGCTGTTGGAGTGAATGTAAACAAACCCCGTCTCACTTGAGGTGAGATGTATAGGCTTCGTAAATTGTTTTATGCTTAAAATGGTAGATGACGTTTGGGGTTTGGATGATATATTAACACCCCTTCCTTACACCCTCCGGCCTTCGTAACCAGTTCCAGTTGGGCTAGCACTATCATTAAGGCAGGTAGTGTGGTCCAGGGATGGTCCAGTGTACCCCTAGAGGGGCCATATTTACCAGTCTCCGTGGTGTAGTGGTAAGACACTCGCCTGGCGTTCCGCGAGCGCTTTGTCATGGGTTCGTATCCTGGCCGGGGAGGATTTACTGGCCGCAAATCCTTAACTGTAGCCGCTGTTTAACGCAACAGTAAAATGTGTACTTGGTTGTAACAAGGATTCTTCGCGGCAGGGGATCGTATTCCAGGGACCTGCCCGAAACGCTACGCGTACTTATGGCTCTACAAGAATGTAGCAACTCTTATATATATATATATATATATATATATATATATATATATATATATATATATATATATATATATATATATATATATATAAACTTCTCTGCTTCAGTTCGTTACAACTACTGGTTATCTCTTGAGGTTATCTTGAGATGATTTCGGGGCTTTTTAGTGTCCCCGCGGCCCGGTCCTCGACCAGGCCTCCACCCCCAGGAAGCAGCCCGTGACAGCTGACTAACACCCAGGTTCCTATTTTACTGCTAGGTAACAGGGGCATAGGGTGAAAGAAACTCTGCCCATTGTTTCTCGCCGGCGCCTGGGATCAAACCCGGGTCCACGGGATCACAAGTCCAGCGTGCTGTCCGCTCGGCCGACCGGCTCCCTCCCGGTCGGAAATGGTTATAGGAAACGCAACTCGCTCTACTGAGAACTGCGTGAGGGAACCGTCCATTAACTGACGTCTTGACTGACCACCTGTGCCTCTTCCCTGGTGTGGGGGGGGGGGAGATTTTTTTTTTGGGCAGGGATATTCCTGCGCGGGCCCTAAGCCTCTGGCTGGCCCACTGCGCGGGCCCTAAGCCTCTGGCTGGCCCACTGGGCGGGCCCTAAGCCTCTGGCTGGCCCACTGCGCGGGCCCTAAGCCTCTGGCTGGCCCACTGGGCGGGCCCTAAGCCTCTGGCTGGCCCACTGGGCGGGCCCTAAGCCTCTGGCTGGCCCACTGGGCGGGCCCTAAGCCTCTGGCTGGCCCACTGGGCGGGCCCTAAGCCTCTGGCTGGCCCACTGGACGGGCCCTAAGCCTCTGGCTGGCCCACTGGGCGGGCCCTAAGCCTCTGGCTGGCCCACTGGGCGGGCCCTAAGCCTCTGGCTGGCCCACTGGGCGGGCCCTAAGCCTCTGGCTGGCCCACTGGGCGGGCCCTAAGCCTCTGGCTGGCCCACTGGACGGGCCCTAAGCCTCTGGCTGGCCCACTGGGCGGGCCCTAAGCCTCTGGCTGGCCCACTGGGCGGGCCCTAAGCCTCTGGCTGGCCCACTGGGCGGGCCCTAAGCCTCTGGCTGGCCCACTGGGTGGGCCCTAAGCCTCTGGCTGGCCCATTAAGTGTTGCTTGTTTCTGTTTTACTTGGGCGGAGTATGAGTATTTATGACTCGTATGGTCGCTTCAGTAAGATTTTGCCATATGTTTGAATTTGCTTGTTGAATGTCATTTTAAAATCTGTCCACACTCCGAGATATTGATATTGCGTAACCCACTGAAGGTTAATGTCTTGAATGTTTGTTACCGCCTAGTCTCATTGCCTTAGACTTCTGTGCAGATATTTTTAGCCCTAAAACGCTGCATTCAGATGTTACTTTATCTAATGCATCTTGTGCTTTATTTAGAAGTGAAGGACCTGTAATGACTAATCCTGTATCATCAGCATAGCTTAACAATGTAACCCCTTCTGTAAATGTCATGGTAACAAGGTTTTCCATAAAGATGTTAAAGAGACTAGGACTGAGGACTCCTCCTTGTGGAGTCCCATTCTCGTGCAAGTGGTAGTCCGACACTTGTCCTTGCAACTTTACTCTGGCATACCTGTGACTTAAGTAATCTTGAATCCATGCTAGCATATTTCACTTTACACCTTTTTTAACTATGATGTGTAAAATTGCTTGTGGGCTTGCTGGAAGCTGGGACAGATTAACTGTTTACTGGAATACATTTGAATTGTATTTGGAGGAATACATTTGAAGGAATAGAGGTTAATTGCGCCTCAAGGCATACAGGTTAACTGTGTAGGAATACAGATCAGGTGTATTTAGAGGAATAAGGATTGATAATACAGGTGAAGAACCTGAAACAGAGCCTCTGATGTTGTGGCTTATAGCAGGTGTGTGTGTGTGTGGGTATCGGGTGTGTGGGGGTGGGGGTATGGGAGACAGGTGTGTGGGGGTGTGGGAGACAGGTGTGTGGGGGTGTGGGAGACGGCAGCGTGTGTGTGTGTGTGTGTGTACGTGAGAGACAAGTCAGTACGTGGGAGGCAGGCGTGCCAGGAGCCACGGATGGTGTACGCGTGCTGAAACTCAGCCCCGAGTGAGAGCCACGGCGCCCCCACACGGGAACCCCAGGCCAGGGATATCCTCTCCGCCAGCCGGATGGACGCAGCATCCTCTCACTGCACTTTCAACGCAAATCTCAAACATCAAACCACCGAAATACTAACGTTTCATGACCATAGGCCTCGATAAGTTAGGCAAGTTGCATAGGCCCAAACGTTTCTGGCCACAACCGTTGTTATTTGCTACGAAGTGTCAAATCCTGAGAACGGGCTAGCACGAAACAAAAGAATTGAAACACGATTATTAGAAATTGACTAACGACTTCAATTAGGGATATTTTAAAGCACATCAGGGTCTAGTGGGTTACCTTGAGGTGCTTCCGGGGCTTAGCGTCCCCGCGGCCCGGTCGTCGACCAGGCCTCCTCCAGGATAGGGTAGCTACCCGTCGACCAGGGTAGTGCATATGTCGTTTTAACCTAGAACGCGGGTTCGATACCACCGCCCTACTCCAAAAGATTCTTTTATTTCCTATATGACTTCAAAGCTCCAATGTGTGATGTTGTATGTTGACCAGACCACACACTAGAAGGTGAAGGGACGACGACCTTTCGGTCCGTCCTGGATCATTCTCAAGTCGAGTGTGATGTTGGATTGTTATAAATAGCAGTTGCAGTGCAAGCTGTTGCCTCAGTCGTTACAAATATATTGCGTAACACCCCAATAATGCCAAATATTCACAGAGGTTTGATTAAGGCTCATTGTACCATCACTAATGATCTTGAACTGCCACTCACACGTTAAGTATGGGGTGTACAATAAACTACCACTCACAGGTTGAGTATAGGGTGCACAATAAACACTCACAGGACGAGTATAGGGTGCACAATAAACACAGGACGAGTATGGGGTGCACAATAAACACTCACAGGACGAGTATGGGGTGCACAATAAACACTCACAGGACGAGTATAGGGTGCACAATAAACACAGGACGAGTATGGGGTGCACAATAAACACTCACAGGACGAGTATGGGGTGCACAATAAAAACACACAGGACGAGTATGGGGTGCACAATAATCACAGGACGAGTATAGGGTGCACAATAAACACTCACAGGACGAGTATGGGGTGCACAATAAACATTCACATGACGAGTATGGGGTGCACAATAAAAACACACAGGACGAGTATAGGGTGCACAATAAAAACACACAGGACGAGTATGGGGTGCACAATAAACCAGCCGTTGATTACGATAGCCTTAATAAGCAAACAGTCAAGAGAGGATTTACGATGCCTCAGTGGTCACAATTCAACTTAAGTTTCATTGCTTCCAGCAACTGTAAACTTAATTCGCTTTAGCATTGCGTCAGGGGAAAGTGAGTTGGGTAACTGATGACACTATCCACCCGCCTCTTCCCTTCCTGTTGATGAGAGAGAGAGGGAGAGGTAGAGAGGGAGAGGTAGAGAGGGAGAGGTAGAGAGAGGGAGAGGTAGAGAGAGGGAGAGGTAGAGAGAGGGAGAGGTAGAGAGGGAGAGGTAGAGAGGGGGAGAGGTAGAGAGAGGGAGAGGTAGAGAGAGGGAGAGGTAGAGAGAGGGAGAGGTAGAGAGAGGGAGAGGTAGAGAGAGGGAGAGGTAGAGAGAGGGAGAGGTAGAGAGAGGGAGAGGTAGAGAGAGGGAGAGGTAGAGAGGGAGAGGTAGAGAGGGAGAGGTAGAGAGGGAGAGGTAGAGAGGGAGAAGTAGAGACAGAGAGGTAGAGAGGTAGAGAGAGAGAGAGAGAGAATGTGATCTTGTGTTTATATTTGTCTTAGAGCGATAGATGTAAATCATTATTACTCAAGAGGCTTTGCTTCCCACTTTCTATGTCTCCATTCCATTTTCTGTATTTCTTGCAATTTTCATTATTCATTTCTTGCAATTTTCATTATTTTCATTCATAATTATTAATAATAATAAAAATAACGATCACACAATTCATTGTGTTGGGGAACAGGCAGCCAGGGAATGTGTGTTTACATATATATACAGAGTATATATATGTTTATATATATATATATATATATATATATATATATATATATATATATATATATATATATATATATATATATATATATATATATATATATATATATAATTTATACAGGTTTAGATTTACATCGAGGGTCTCTCCCAAGAATGAAACTTTATAACAAGTTGTCTCACACCTGGGTACCTATATTTACAGCTATTTACCTCTTACCTAATGAATAAGTCCATTAGGTAATAGGAAACGGGCCTAACCATTTCTGGCCCGGCAGGGATTCGAACCCAGAATTCTCGATTCTGAGTCTAGAACCAACACAACTGAATTACAGAGTTCCAATTATTCAATTTTAGAAATTGAGTAAAATTGTATTAAAAGGATTAGACAAAGGCATAAAAACAAAAATAAAATTTATTTAAATAGTACTTAACAATCTAATAAGTGTATCACAGCTTTTGGTAATATAAATAATTTTACATAAATATTATGAATAGTTATTTTGTCTGCAGTCTCGACAATTATTAAACAAAGGTACAAGTCGACTATGAGCTCTTGAGTGGCTTAATCTTTATCAGTCAATTCACTACGAGTACGACTCGTGTATATGATATTGGATTAGGTCATTCAGTGAGGTAATCCATGTGTTGACTACCTAATTAAAGGGAATAAGTGTTTAGTTTCGTTGGATTGTACTTTAAGACTGCCTGGAACTTTTTGACTTCATCATGAAGGTTGTTTATTTCACAATGGTTGTTTGTAAATGATGAGGCTGACGATGATTTATTCTTTGGTGATGCTGATGAATTTAAAGCCGGCAGTAGCGGGTTGGCGGCCATGTTGACAACGGAGTTTCCCGCCTCGCCCACCTTCACTCGCTGCCATCCGCGTAGCCATTCCCATACCCTTCACTCTTGCCATAAACCACGCATGACTGTTGCCACACGTGTTTGCGTTGACAAACGTCTTGTATTGCAACATCTATACGTCACTGTTGCCACACGACGTAACGCACATCAGCGTTATCTTGGGCTCTGAAGACGAGTGCTGGGAGTTCCTTAGTGAGATGGCAGCACCGCAAGCAGGAACAATGATTAATGTGTATATCCAGCGCTGTGCTGCGTCTGCGTCTCCCTCAGGAGTGAACAGAAGCAGCAGGAGCAGCAGAGTTGACACCTCAACGACTGCAGCCACACTGTGTGTGTTCCACAACAGTCAGTTTCCGGTGGAGCTTCTTGGTCGGGGTGCTGTTGTCGTAGTAAGCGACGACGATCGTCTTGTCGTGGCTGCCGGTGGCGACGCAGCGGCCGTGGATAACGCCGTGGTTTGTGCCGCAGAAGCTGCAGTCCTCCACGCACTGACGGACCGCCACAACTTGAGGGTAGAACGTGAGCATGTCAACCAGGTCGTCCGCGGAGTGGAGGAGGTCGGCCACTCGCACCTTCTTCAGCACAGGTTGGCAGCCCATTTCCTTCAGGTCCTTCACCTGGTCCTTGATGCTCTTGTCGTGGTCGACAGGGAGGCTGGCAGCCAGCCCTGCCATCACCACCACCACAACCACCACCTTCATTTGCATACAAGTCTTCATTGTCCCTCAAAGATAATGTTTAAGAGCCTGGGGAGTCGATCTGGATGCGTCGATGTCCTAAGGAACAAATTTTCAGCTGTTGAGTTTCGCTCAGGAAAATATGAGCAGCGAGCCTCGGGAGATGTATATGGTTGTTGTTCAGCTGGTGAGGGAGAGGCTCACACTGGCACTAGATGGCAGCCGCCCCAGTATTTATACCCTGCGTGACGTGACGTCATCCTGAGGCCCGGGCCAACCAATTGAAACGTTTCTAATCTCTAGATCACACCACTGTAGCTACGAATCAGATTGTCACGAGTGTATGTGCGGCTTGCATACGGATCTCGGAGCCCGTCACTACGTTTCTGCGCGTATAGTCAGCTGAACTTAAATATACAAATACGTTCACTGCAGGCAGATATCCACCTCACCACTGACACACACACACACACACACACACACACACACACACACACACACACACACACACACACACACACACACACACACACACACACACACACACACGACCAACAAACGTGTAGAACACAGCATATACAACACGAGTTGATATGTACCTTCTCCCTCTGTTTTTGAATGTTGAAACATAAGTCACGTTCAGGTAGGCTGAGACGGATTTAGACCTGAAAGGGGGGGGGGGCCTGGGGGGCACTTCAAATTCAAGGGGGACCCTTAACATATAAATTAAATTACATGACAAAGTTACAAAGTTAACTACAATTAGTGACTACCAGCACATGTGGAATTTTTTTTTTAGGTTCAGAAGAAGAAAGACATCTGATTTTATGTTTCAAAATTTTATGGAATAGGAATATACCTTTGCTTTTTCAGTTTGTATTATTGGCTAAAGTGATATATATATATATATATATATATATATATATATATATATATAAATTACTGGTGATCAGATAAGGTATGAATGTTGTGATGCCTAATTGCCCGAAACGCTATGCATCCTAGTGGCTTTACAAGAATGTAAATTCAACATAATTTCTATGTTCTTTGTTAACCCCCAACGTATCTTCTTCTATATAAATAATAATAATAATAATTTTACAATTATTACAATTATAAAGGAACACTAGGTAGGGGGCGGGGAAAGGGCCCGAGGCACTTACCTCATTTGTCCCCTTATAAAACCGGGGCCTGAATAGTACTCAACCCTCCCGACAGTGTCTTGGCGGGGCAGTGTGTGTCTGACGTAAGACATTAGCGAACTTGTTAGCGCGTCCATACAAGGGGGGGGGGGGGTTTCCGGACGCGCATGTCGCCGTGCCAGATGGGAGCGGCGCTGATTTGACCTTGACGCCGAGGGGACGTGTGATGGACGCCGCCTAGCGTTCTGTTTTCGCGGATTTCGATATTGCGTTTGGCGGTCCAGATTGTTACGACGCCTGGCGCACTTGTCGCCTTCGGTCACGGGATTGTTGATAGATTTTCGAATGTTTTCTTGCGGGGTGACGGTGTCCGGCGCCGGCTTGGCTTAGAGGTGCCGGGAGTTGGTGTGCCCTCAGCCGTGGTGGGCTCCTGGTGGGCCCTCAGCCGTGGTGGGCTCCTGGTGGGACCTCAGCCGTGGTGGGCTCCTGGTGGGCCTTCAGCCGTGGCGGGCTCCTGGTGTGCCCTCAGCCGTGGTGGGCGGCCGGCTTCTGCTCTGACGGAGGACACTGGATGACTTTTTGCGTTTTAGCTGAGGGCCGAGTTTTTGGTTTTGCTGCGTGGTGTTCTCTGTGTGGGGCTGGGCCGGTGCTTGTCACATTGAGGGACTCCCGGGGCTCCCCAATCATCTGCCTAAAGAGCTGATACTGGAGATCTGTGGAGGCGCGACTGCACCCTGCGTGACGGGAGATGTCTCCCCCGTGTACGCAGAGGCGCACCCGTGACAGATATAAGAGACACGGGCTATTCATGCCCGTGCCACCTCTTGGGTAGCGTCATCAATCAATCCACTACACACACACACTCGACCCCTCGACCTCACACTACACACATGACTCCTCCATCCCTGCCCCTACCCCCTGCCCCCTCCTCAAGTGTTCCCAGTGTCCTCTGAGTGCCACTAACTCATTCATCTTCCACGACGCTTGCAGCTGGTGAATCCCCTCCTCCCACGCCCGCTTATCTCTAGTCTTCACCTTTAACATTACAACTTTACTTGTTCCAGGCTTTCATACATTTCCCTTATCTTAGGAGTAGCTGAAGCAAGTTTACTCGCAGTTGAAACTTTCTCAATTCTCTCTCTCTATATAATATATATATATATTGAGAGAGCGAGAGAGAGAGCGAGAGAGAGAGGGGTGTGAGAGAGCAAGAGAGAGGGAGAGAGAGAGAGGGTGTGTGAGAGAGAGAGCGAGAGAGAGAGACAGAGAGAGAGAGGGGATGTGAGAGAGCAAGAGAGAGGGAGAGAGAGAGGGGGGGTGTGAGAGAGCAAGAGAGAGGGAGAGAGAGAGAGGGGGTGTGAGAGAGCAAGAGAGAGGGAGAGAGAGAGAGGGTGTGTGAGAGAGAGAGAGGGGGTGTGAGAGAGCAAGAGAGAGGGAGAGAGAGAGAGGGGGGGTGTGAGAGAGCAAGAGAGACAGAGAGAGAGAGTGTCATAGGAAGCGACGTAAGAAGTCTGAAGACCTCCATGGGGAATCCCTCCACATTCAGGAAGACAGACTTGGGTATATATTTATATATTTTTCACCTTACTGCTACTGGCCGCTACCTCTTGTTGTTTTAGACTCGGCTACTCTCAACAAAAAGTTCCAAAGTAGCACGGGCTATGGTGAGCCCGTAGTGGACTTACCTGGTACAGGAGCGGTGCGACTAGGTGAGTACAACTAGGAGAGTATATAGCATTGGGAAGGGGCCAGGATAAGGATTTGTGATGGTACCGGGGGGGGGGGGGGGGGGTGTAAGGAATGGTGCCCAACCACTTGAACGGTCGGGGAATTGAACGCCGATATGCATGAAGCCAGACCGTCGCTCTACCGTCCATCCCAAGGGGTTCCACGACCATATGGACATTCCCTCAATCTCTATTTACTCATCTACAATAGGTTCCAACAGCTGGTAAATCGCTTTAAAAAATAGTCACAGCGAGAGTGACGGCCCAGTGATTGCTCTACAAGGATTGACTAACAGATTCCCATTAAATTAATTTTAATTCCCATTAAATAGACAAGTAAATTAAAAAATAGAAAAAAGTATTATTCCAATAGCCAATGAACACAAAAGAATATATTTTACACACAGAAATCACAGTAGCGTGATGCATCAAATGAACAAATCCACAAGGAATTTGACCATGTCGTAGCTCAGTCGATTAAGACAGTGTCTGGGATCCTGTCAGACGTAAGTTCGAACCCTCGTCACGGCCCTTGTGGATTTGTTCAAGAATATCTTTCAAATATATCATAAACAAACCATACATAACTGTATATCACTACATATAACCCATGAATAAAACATAAAAAACACACAAATAAACACGTAAATCACTAAAAAACACACACAGAGGAGCTTCCTATTCTACCTTATATTTAGAACAAGTCTGGGAAAAAACCCTGTTAACTCCCCCCCCCACCCCCCACCCCTGGGGAAGTTATGTTATAGTGGGCTGCGTTCACACACATTTCCCCTCCCCCCCTATACCCCCTCCCCCCCCCCTCGGGTCAGTCTTCCTAGAACATAAGTCTGGCCAAAGTCGTAATCTCATTTGCATATCGTGTATGTCTCTTGGGGCGGTAAGAAACGTTTTCCGTCAGTGACCCGGGCAATGTGAGGATGGTTGACTGGGCGGGTGTTGGGCGGGTGTTGAGCAGGTGTTGGGCAGGTGTTGGGGGTGGGGAAGGGGGTGGTGGTCCAGGTGAAGATGTTTTCCAGAAAAAAAATTGTCTCTTAGTTCGTTGGCTCAGAAATGTCAACAATAACAAAGTAGATTTTCATACAAAAATGAAAAGTTGTCGTATGGAACTTTGGCTCAGAAAAGTTGTTAAAAAAAGTAACTAATACAAAATTAAAAATTATCTCGTAATAGATTGTTTTACAAAAGTTTTTAAAACTGTAGTTTTCAATCAAAACTAAGAAATTGACTAAAAAAAAAGGTGGCTCGGGGAAATTTGATTTTAGTGAAATTTTTACTCTTTTTGTGAAGATATTTAATGAAACTTAAAACCTGAAATTTGTAATTTGTGGCTTGATTTAGAAACTGTATTTTTTCCCTTGAAATGTTAAATAAATATCTGATTGTTCTGTGAGTGTGTCCATCTGTCGGAGTCCGTCAGTGAGTGGTGAGTCCTTCAATGAGTATCTGGTGAGTGCAGGCGATGAGTCACAATAACGTGGCTGAAGTATGTTGACCAGACCACACACTAGAAGGTGAAGGGACGACAACCACGACATTTCGGTCCGTCCTGGACCATTCTCAAATCCATTGTGTTTATCAATATTTAGTGAGTCATTCAGTGAGTGTCTCGTGCCTCCTTCAGTGAGTGCCTCAGGAGTCAGTTCCACCTTCAAACTTCCCCAGACGGAAGTCTTAACAAACGTTATAATTACGGGAAATTTACCTTAAATTTTACAGATTTATCTTGCGATTTATTTGGATTAAATATATAAATCCCTTAATCTGTATGTGGATATTTCTCTTCTTTCTCTGTCTTCAGGGACAGGAAGCCTGGACTTAGGTCTATCAAAGGCCCCCTGATCTTACACAGAATGAAACCCCCACAACCGTCGCCTATTTTTACTGCCAGGTGAGTAGGTGCATCAGGTGAAAAGAAACGTACCCAACCATTTCTGTCCTTGCCTGGAGACTAAATTCGAGTTCCTCGATTGCGGCCTGAGGGCGTAGACCACTGCACAGCGAGGCACTAAACTAAGGGAATGCAATGCAGGAAATGCAACTAAGGGAATGCAATGCAGGAAATGCAACTAAGGGAATGCAATGTAGAGAAACTATTGCTGTTATCTGACTGGCGTAAGTTGAGGACGATACTATAGGGGTTTCCCCCTGGCTGGCTACACTATGAGGAACTCAAACAGGAAATTGGTAGCCCCCTGGATCACTAGCCGTTCCGATAAACGTAAAAGTCAAACTCTTTGAATTACCTCTTGAAACCTTTACCCAAGAAAGCAAGTGTCTTGGAGCCTACAATTGACTGAGATTTTTTTTTTTTTTTTTTTTTTTTTTTTTT